AGTAGTGAGCCACAAAAGGTCAGGCAGTGGGGGGGAGCCTCAGGCAGAGAGATGCAGCCAAGCCGGCCTCCAGCAATTAGTGTCTCCTGTTCTGGAAAGTTATGCCTACAGACCACACCAGTTCCCTGGCCCTTTAAATCAGGCCCCTTCACATCTCTCTGGACCACTCCCAGATGGTCCCCCCCCCCCAGAAAAAAAAGGCCTCCTGTCTATCCAACCCTCAATGCCCCTACAACCTTACCTCTGGGCCCAGGCAGAGCGGGGTGCGGTGAGCAAACGGCCCAGGGCCTTCCAGTGCAGGAAGGCTATGGTGTGCTGGGAGGCCAGCTGCTTTTGTACACTGCTGTAACGCTTTCCTTCTGACCGGCCCCTCTTCATTACTGGGTCCAGCACCAATTCCTAGGGGAAATTAAGGGGCCTGGTAAAGCAGGGGGCCAGGGGCCTCCAGGCAAAGAACCTTCAACCTCAAACAGCACTCTGCAGATCTAGTTATCACTCATCCTCTCCAATTCCCACTTCAGAGTCATGGAAAATGTCAGAAATAGAGCTTAGCAACAATTTCACTTGACAGATGAGGGGGTGGGACTGAAACTAAGGCTAGGGAATTGCCCAAGGTCACACAGATGATAAGGAGCAGAGACTGAATCTAAACTTGGGTCCCCGACTCCAAATCAAGTGATCTTTCTGAAATACCTCAACATGTAACCCTGAAATGGCCTCCCTATTCCTACTCATCTATTGCCCACCTTCGTGAAGCCTCCCTGGATACCTCCAGGCCACTCAACAGTGCTTAGCATAGTGCCTGACCCAGAGTAAGGGCTCAATAAATGCTTTTTCGTTCATTCACTAATTTCTCCCCTTCTTGATGGCCCTGCCAACCATATGTAATATTTGATTTGATATTATGATACATTCCATTTAGTAATTTAGTACAGGTCATCTGGTACTATGTGACATGTGTTAACTTGTCTCCAAAAAGAGAAGGAAACTTTTCAGAGAGCAGAGTCTGTGTGGAATTGAATTCTGCATTGGATTTGGAGTTGGCGGACCTTATTAGCTAGATGATTTTAGACAAGCTACTTCCCTCTCTGAACCTTGGTTTCTATCTCTATGAATGGAGGAGTGTATATTAATCAACAAGGATTTATTATAATTAATTGAAATAACTTTATCAAAGTTACAGAACATAAAATAACCCTACATAAATCATCAGCCTTTATGTATATTATCAATAACACCCAACAAGAAGAGAAAGAAAAACCCCATTCAAAATAACTACAGGTTATAGAAAATATTTGGGATTATACACACAGGAATTATATGAAGACAACTATAAAATACCATTTATAGAAATAAAGGCAGACCTAAATAATTGGAAAGATATTAGCTGTTCATGGCTAAAGGTATCATTATGATAAAAATGACTATACTACCTCAATGTATTTCTTCACTGCCATGCCAATCAAACTAGAAAAGGCAACTTTTATACAATTAGAAATTATGTCAAAATTCATTTGAAAGAACAAAAGGTCAAGAATCTCAATAGAAATAATGAAAAATGTGAAAAGAAGACCTAAAAGCATAATATAAAGCAACACTCATCAAAACCATTTGTGATGGGTTAAAAAACAGAAAAGCATATCAGTGGAGTAGATCAGACAGAAGAGAATCTGAAATAGTATAGAACTCAATAATCCAGCTTTGATAAAGTGAAATATAAATTAACTCTCTTATTTGACAAGAACTGCTGGTAAAACTGGAAAGCAGTTTAGTAAAAATTAGGCTTAGACCAGTATCTCACACCATATTCCACACTACATGCTAAATAGATACATGACTTAAATATTAAAGATAAAAAATAAAAATAATACAATTAAAAATTAGAAGATAAGCAAATCACACATAGCTATGGGTAGGGGATAAGTTCTTTTAGGGATAAAGTCAATTACAAAAGATAATTTTGATTTCATGAAATTGAAAAGCTTTATACAAGAGGGAGAAGGGAATAAGTATTTATATAATGCCTAATATGTGCCAGGCACTAGTTTTTTAAAGTATCTAAAAAAAAAATCCACAAACAAAACCAATGCATCTTTAATGCATGAACAAAATTATGCAGTTAGAATTAGAAGGGTAATAGTTAACTAGAAAACAATCTTTCCAGAAAATTTCTCCGATAAAGGTCTGATATCCAAGGTATACAGGAAACTGTTTCAAAATACGTAAGAACAAGAGGTATTCTCCAATAGATAAATGGTTAAAAGATATGGAGTATAGTTTTAAAAAAAAAAAGCAAGCTACCAACAATCATATTAAAAAAAAGCCTCATCACAAATAATAAGGGAAATGCAAATTAAAACAACCCTAGGTTCATCTATCAGGTTGACAAAGATGACAAAAAAAAAAGCAAAGAAAATTACAATTTGGGGGAAAGATGTTGGAGGGCAAGCATACTAAAGCACTGTTGTGCACTGGAGCTGTGAAACAGCCATTCTGAAAAGCAATTTGGAGCTATAGCCAAAAAGTTATTAAACAGGACATACCCTTTAACCTGGTGATAACACTCCCTATTGATCACAGACTCCAAAGAGATCAAAGAAAGAGGGAAAGGGCCATAAGTATAAAAAATGTTCATAGCAATACTTGCTGTTGTACTAAAGTACTGGAAACTAAGGGGAATGGCTAAACAAATGGTGGCATACATGTATATATATAATAGAAATTAATGTGCTATGTGAAATGATCAGAACTAGGAGAAAAGTTTATTAAATGACCATAATAAAGTCACAGTTAACAACTTTGAAAGACCTCAGAACTTTGATCAAAGTAATGACCAGCTATGACTTCAAAAAACCGATGATAAAACATGCCTCCTACTTCTTGGCAGAGAAGCGTTCCAAGGGGTTCAGAATGACACGTCCATTCTGAGACATGACCAATATGTTGATTTGTTTTATTGACTATGTTTACTTGTTACAAAGAAGGGCTGGATAAATTTGTAAAAGTAAAAAAGAAACAACAAAAAGCAAAAACAAATGAAAAGTTGGCAGATGTTTTCCCTGAAGCCAGCTCAAAGACTAGGCAAAAGACCAAGTGAGCCGAGAGTGGAGTGAAACCAGAGACTTAAAGGACACGGTCATACATTATGTTAAGCTTAAGGGGAAGGGGGAAAGGAATGAGCACTATGTGCCTACCCCTGCACTAAGTACCTTACAAATATTATTTCATTTGATCCTCACGATAATATTGGGCGGTAGATGCTCAAGCAAGTGAAAAGAGAAAGAAAGCCTTTCTTTAAAGGCATGCTAAAGGAGTTGAAAGACAAAAAAAAATCATGGGTTCATGGGAACATTAATTTAGAGATGGGGGGACCTAGTGCAACCCCCTCATACAAGAATTCAGTGGTAGAGCAGCGGTTTGAACCAAGGTCATTGGATGCCAAATCCAGTGCTCACCACACTGCTTCTCATCATCTATCAAAAATACCAGTACGCATCAGAGACTTCATGTTTGCTTTCAGTAGTTGTGCTCAAATACATCATGCTTTACATCCTGACTGATGATACATGGTGGGTGGTTAACATCTTCCAATGTAGAACAATGCATTATCCTTTACCACCAGCTGGTGGTGTTGTATGTAAATGACAGAGACACATTTACATGGAAGACACCTGAATACAGATAAGGGGAATCCACCAGCACACAGGTAATGAATAGTACACCAGCTCCCTTATCTCTTAAGTGGGTTAGAAACATTTTCCTTCATGTGCCATTTCTTTACAGGGAATGTGAGCATCAGCTCTGCCTCACCTTTAGGTTCTGTGGACTGGGAATAGGATTTCTTCCCATCCCACACAACTAACTATACCTACCTACCTCTGCTCCACAGAGATGAGGCAGCAATGCTGTGGTCAGAGCTCTGGATTTAGAGTCAGAAGAATTAGCTATGCTATTGACTCCCCCTGCCTCCTAGGGCAAGTCATCTTCTGTAAAATGAGCCAGTTGGGTTACCTAGTTAGAAAGTTCCTTCCAACTCCATATCCTATGATCTGAGGGAGTACTCTCCATGACCTTCCACGGTCTCCCTTGATTAGTCAAGAGTTTTTGTATTTAAAAAAACAGTTTTCATATTCATCAGACTACTTCTGTTAGATGGTGGATTGCACCATTATACTTGAGGATCAGAAGAGAAATGTACATAAAGTGCTTGGCAGACCGTAAAGCGCTATATTAATGTGAGCTGCTATTATTACAAACTTCCTTTTTCTATAAAGGTGTCACCCCTTCGGGGAAATTTGTTGCAAATCTAAAAGCACATTATAAATATGAGTTATCACCATCATCATCATCAATTGTAGGGGTTACATAACCTGAAGGGGGTCACAGAAACTCAGCACCTGAAAGGAGTGCAGACATCATTTAGTTTAGCTCATGCTCTAACAGAAAACCCTTCTACAACATCCCTGACCAGCTGTCGTCAAGCCTCCCCTAGGGCCACCTCCAGTGAGGGAGTACCCCTTCTACTTTGGAGAGACTCCAGTGGTGAATTAGTCGCTCCTCACACGGAGCAGCTATCAGTCTCTCTACCACTTCCACCCTTTGCTCTCAGTTTGCCTCTGGGGAGGCTGAGAAGGATGCCTCTTCCTCATTACCACCCTTCAAATACTTAAAGACATAAACTATGTGTCCCTTGAGACTTCTCTTCTCCAAGCTCAAAACAACATTGTTGTTTCAGTTGTGTCCAACTCTTTGTGACCCCATATTTGGGGTTTTCTTGGCAAAGATACTAGGGTGGTTTGCCATTTACTTCACCAGCTCATTTTACAGATGAGGAAACTGAAGCAAACAGGGTTAAGTGATTTGCCCAGGGTCACACAGCTAGTAAGTGTCAGAGGCCAGATTTGAACCCAGGTCTTCCTGACTCCAGGCCCAGCACTCTATCCACTGTGCCACCTAGCTGCCCAAAACATGGATTCTTTCAAATGATCCTCAAATGCCATGGTCTGAAGTCTGTCACCACTCTCTGGACATGCTCTAGCTCGCCAGTGCCTTTCAGAAAAGACGGCACCCAGATGGATACAACATTCCAGGTGTGGTCAGACCAGGGCACACACCCTGGGACTGTCGCTGCCTTTGTTCTGAATTCTTAAGTCTTTTTAAATGCACAGTTTCCCATTAATACTTTTGGTTGCCCTGTCATATTGCTGGTTTGAACTCAGCTCGTGGTCTACTAAGTCTCCATGAGTCTTCTAGGCATGCATTATCTTGCCTATCTCAATGGTGGCCCCAGCCTCTCCTCCCAGCCTCCCCAATACCCAGGAACCTGGAAGAGGCGCCGGCTCTCGGTCCGCTCTCGATCCCTCCGAAGGCTGCTGCTCATGAGTGCGTCATAGCAGGAGTTCCAAAAACTGGACATGTGGTCATGGCTCCTAGCATAAGTGTCCATCTCAAACTGGGACATGGTAGGCTGCACCTGGAGAGAAGGAAATGGGCCCTGAGCTGAAAAGAATAAGCCCAGAACTGCCTTGCCCAAAGCAATGCCCCCCAAGCCCAAGAAAGACATAGTGAAGGGTAGAAAGGAATACGCCTGATTAGAACAGACGTCTCTAGCCCTCCAATTCCCCCTCTTCCCCATTTTAGACCAGTCTCTTTTACCTCCTCTTTCTTATTCCTCCATGCCCTCTATTCACTTCCCTCTCCTGCCTCAGTCCTCTCAGCTTCTCCCCAGTTATCTCTCCTACCCCAGATTCCACTCTCCGCACCTCCTTCTTTCCTCTGACTTACATCACTATGTTTACCCATTCCCATCTCCTATCTAGCCTCATCACATTCTCCCTTTTTCCACTCATTTCCCCTTCCGGACCTCACTCCCCGTCCAGGGTCATATAACAATTTGATGTTAGAGACAAAAGGCATCTTAGAAATCATCTAGTCCAACCTTTTATTTTACAGAAGAGGAAAGTGAGGCACAGTGGTCTGACACTCAGTAAATTAGTAGGAGAGCTGGAATTCAAACCCAGATGCAGTAACTTCCCCAAGTCCTCAGTTCTTCCCATTATCTCTAGACCATGCTACTCTTTACCCCCAGGCCTCTTCTTCCCCTTTGTCCCTCCCCGTCCATTCTCCCACTCCCACCAATCTTCCTAACCCCTGCCCTCTCTGTCCTCCCTCCAGTGCCTATTCCCCCAATATTCCCAGGCACCAGGTCCAGCGGGTACCTGTTTGTCAATGAAGAGTCGCCATTCTGGGGATGTGCAAAAAGCTTGGAAGTCTTCATAGAAGGTGGGGCTGCCATTGGTGGGTGGCAGGGAGGGCAGCCCCCACTGCAGGCCCAGTTCTATGTAGGCCCTGTCCAGCAGGGTCCGGACCAGAGGCACGAGCCAGGAGCAGCGCTCAGATTCTGCCTCCAGCGCCCGGGCCAGAGGGGCCTCCAGCTTGGCCAGCAGATAGCAGGCCTCCTCTCGCTTTGGTGGCACTGCTGTTTGCAGCAGGCCATGGAGCTTCACGTAGGCCAGGGCATGAAGCTGGAGGAGAGCACAGGTTAGGGACAGACGGACTACACCACACACAGGGAAGGGGAAGGATGGGGAGGGACACGCATGCAGGAGGCCAAGGCAAGAAGGACCCTCGAGGCACTACGGCACACTGATCAGAGACAGCTCCAAGGCTGCTGCTCTTTGGAGGAGCTGCTTTTAAATACTCGCTCATATAAAATCTGATTTTTTAAAATGTATTGATCAGTTTTGCTGAAATGTTTCTTTTTTCCCCCTCTTTTTCCTTTTGAAAAAAAAATGTCTTTGCTATAAGACAGACAGGGAAACTGAAGCCCAAAAAGGGGAACGATTTGACATAGGTCATAAGCAAGTAAGTAGTGAAACTAGAAGGAGGAGTCAGGTGTCTTGCTTCTCAATGAGATGAGAGCTCCCCTTGCCCACGACGGCAGGATGGGGTTCTGGAGGGTTGCAGGTTATGATAAGGGGCCCCCTTTTCTTCCCTCCCCTGCCTATTCCTGGGCAGATTCTGGGTGTCTCCCACCTCACCTGGGTGTCTTCCAACAGCATGTAGCCAAGGACAAGGCGCAGCCCAATCTGCGCCATCTCCCGGAGGTCAGCAGCACCATTGGTCAGATGCTGCCACACGCCAAGGTGATCCAGGAGGCTGCTCACACCTTCAAAGAGCTGCCAGGGAAAGCCATGCAGTCAGGGAGGGGGATGGGTGCCCAGGAACTCTCAGAGGATAGAGGCAGGGACTCTGAGACCCAAGGGGAGGAACTGGGGCGAGCAGGGCTGTTATGGCGATTGGAGAAGGTGGAGAACTTGGCCTAAAGCCTCTGAAGGTCATTTGCACATTCAGAGACAACAGGACACATAACTGGCAGGGACAGATCATCTGGGCCAGCCTCTTGTTTTATAGATAGGAACAACGAGGCTCTGAGAATTTAAATGACTTGCCTACAGGCAACAAGGTACATTTTTCACACACACATACACACACACACACACACACACACACAGTAATAATAGATAGACAGATATATACATACATATATACATATATATACATACATACACACATACATATACATACATACATACATACATGGATGGATGGTTAGATAGGTAGATGAATGAATAGACAGATGGGTAGGTGGGTAGATGGAAGGATGGATGAATGAACAGATAATGACTCTTATTTCTATAGCATTTCACAGTTTACAAGGAGCTTTTCTCACAATTCTTTGAATTAGAAAATTCAATTATTACTACCCCCACTTTTCATATGGGAAAATTGAGTCCCTAAAGAGGAACTGACTTGCATAGTAAGGCAAGAACTAATAAGTGTCAGTCAGCCCTTGAACCCAGGGGCTTCTAGAACCTTCCCCTCTAAGGTTACCATCCATCTACATTGCATGTATCGTGTATATACCCAATTATTTGCATGTTGTCTCCCCTACAAGATGGCTTTGGGGGCAGGGATTGTTTTTTAAAAATTTTGTTTGCATCTCTAACCCTGATCACAGTGCAAGACACATAGCAGACACTTAATAAATGTTTATTGATTGACCAATCCTAGCCTCATGCTCTTTCTAATACAACAGCATTTAGCACAGTACATCGCACACAGTAGGCACTTAATAAAAGTTTGCTGAACGATCTACACCTCAGTGTTGTCTCACATCCACTGATGCACAGACACACAGCATAAATCAAACTATCGAATATTCACTGAACAATAACTGCTCCATGCCTGGCCTTGCGGCAGCCATGAGAATAAAGTCTAGCTGGGGAGATAAAACATAAACATGAAAAACTTTGACTCCTGAATCCTCCAGGGGCCATTCCTCAAGTCCCTCCTCCTCCAGGGAAGCCTTCCGTGGCTCCCCCCACAGCCCACAGCCCACAGCCCACAGTGTATTGTCTTCCTCTGAGATATCACAACACTCTGTGTTCTATGAATGGGACAAACACTAGCTCATTATATTTTATAGTCATATGAATGGCAGATCTTAGAACTGGGAGGGACCTTAGAATTCAGAATGTCAGAGCTGGAAGGAAAGAGTGATCATCTAGCCTGACCACCTCTCATTTTACAGAGGAAGAAAATGAGGCCCAGAGAGAATAAGGAGCTTACCCAAGGTCACCCAGGGAGTATGGGGGAGAAGCAGAACTAGAATCCCCAGGTTTCCTGATTTCCAATCTGGGACTCTTTCCATGATACCACACTGCTCCTCATAGGTACCACCCTCCCTGCTAGCCTTCTATAGAGCAGAGACTGTGTCTCCTTGGTGTTTGCCCCCTGATTCCAGCATGGGGCCCTGCACATAGGAGGGGTGCAGTGCTTACTGAATGAATCTATGATTCAGATATCTTGGGAAAGGACAGGAAGATTAGATGGCTATGGTGGACTATATACACATCAGTAAGTGGACCGTATGTATAATACAACCACGGGACTAGATCACGGCAGTCCCTGAATGCTAGCCTGAGCAGTCTGGACTTTATGTGACAGATACTTGTATGAGAGAATTTGTCATCATAGGATCTTATATACATGCATGTATAAACACACATATGCACGTATAGGTATAAAACATACAGGTGTGTATATAAATTTTATCTGGACCAGATCTGAAATTGTTGCTGTTGTCATAGCAAACTTCCATTAAGGAAATTCCTTCTACCAATGGAGGTTGGCACCTTCTTTTCATTTTACAGTCTTGGAGAGTGGCCTGGGGTGGAGGTGGGTGACACAGAGATTAAGTGACTTGCCCAGGGTCATAGTCAGTATGCGTCAGCAGAAGTCACTTTTCTTAGTCCAAGGCCAGCTCTCTCTGGTGACGACACTGTGCTCATGACCTCCGGTTTTCACTGGGTAGGATTTAGAGACCCACTGCTTATACAGGAAATGGGGAAGAACGTTCTCGGCCAGGGGCTCCCACTGAGGCTGAGCAGGAGCATGCCGCCTGATTGAGAGCAAAGGGCCGATGACAGAACCGGGGGGCGGGGCTGGGAGGGAGACAACGTGCCCATTTATAGGTAGGTAGAAAATCGATACGAGTGATTTGGAGGGAAGGCACTAGCAGCTGGGGTGGGGGGAATCATGAAAGACTTCCCATACAAGGTGTGCACCTGAGCTGAGCTCAAAGGAAACAAGGTGTTCTAAGGCAGGAAGACATTTCAGGCCTGGGATATGGTGGAGAGATGTGAGAAAGACTGCCAGGGATCAAGAATGGGAAGAAGAAGGCTGCAGGGTGGACTCCACCATGAGGTTGGTAAAGAGGATGACCCATCCAAGCCGGTAAGTAAACAGAGCTGGGGTTCAAATCCAAATCCAGGTCCTTCTGAATGCAAAGCCAGTCCCCTCGCCCCCAAGCCACCCTGGCTCCTAAGGACCAAGGCCTGAGCATTCATAGAATCACGGAAGGTTTTTCCGGTAGCGTAGTAATACAATGAAAGAAAGCCTTCCATCCACGCAGACAGACAGAAAGACAGGCAGACACATGCCCAGAGTCGCTCTGCACCCACAGGTGCCGCCCACCTCCTTCTCTGCCCCGCTATCTCACACACACACACACATACCTTCTCACTCCACAGAGCCTGGTTCCCATGGCCCTCAGAGTGCAGGAAGTCCTGTAGCAAACGCAGGAGCTTCAACACACGGTGTGTAAGGCTGGGCAGGGCCACAGGCAGGGCCTCCTGAACGTCATTCAGGGCTGAATCCAGCATCATCTCAAGGAGGCTAGGAACGGCAAGGGATAGACAGGGTTCCTTCCCTGACCTACCAAAGCCCACTATTCTCTCCCGAGAGGCCATCACAGCCTCTACTTAGATACCCCTTTCCCCAAGTCTCTTCTCCCCACACCACCCTCTTATCCCTTCCTTCGGACCCTGCCCCGCTCTCTCCCAGCATCCTCCTCAGCCTCTTCCCCTCGTCCTCCAGTGCACCCCTCATCCCTGCCCCTCTCCCTAGATTCCCCAACCTCTGACCATCTCCAGCTGTTTCCCTAACCTCTATTCTTGTCCTTCAATACCATTCATCTTATTCTCTTCTCCCAACAATTTTCCCCAACCTCTGACCCCATCTCCCCTGTAGTTGCCAACTCCTGATCCTTTCTCCACAATGTCTTCTTAACTTTACCCCTTGTCCCCCAGCACTGTCCCATTTTTTCTCTATGGCCTTCCACCTCTTCTGTGGATCTCACCTCTCTTCTTCTAGTAGCTCTGCCTTGCCCCTGCCCCTCTGCCCCAGCATACCCTTAAGCCTCCGCCTTCCTCCTCCACCGCTTCCCCATCTCCCTCCAGTCTCACCCATCCTAGCCTTTCCCCTACTCATAACCCCTACACCCTTACCTCCCAGCCCCATGGTTCTAGATAGGGCCTTTTCCTGTCCACTAGCCCTTGATGAGTCACCAAACTGGACCCTGGAGAGCCTTACCTGCGCTTGATCTCATCAGGTGGACGCACTAGCTCTCCAGCAGCCCCCAGTTTTGTGAGAACTGAGAAGACCTGGCCCCGCTCACGCCACGCAGCCTCATCATCACCCTCCACCCCGCGCCACGTCACCGAGAATAGGATATTGGTCAGCAAATTGCATAGTTCTTCCTCCGGGGCTTGCTAGTGGTAAAAGCATGACAGAGGTTCAGGGGATGAGCAGAACAGGAGCTCCAGTCTTGGCCCCACCAAGGAGATTCACTTGCTTCATATTCCCTGCCTGTGGATGGGAAGACTGAGGCACAGACAGGCTCCTGCCCAAGAGCTCCCACAAGGGCCACAGTGGAGCAGGCATCATGCCCTCCATTTGGAGGTGGGCCCTGGAGGCTGAGGCAAGGGTAGAGGGGCGGGGACAGTCCAGGCCTCAGCTAGTAGCCAGGCTAGGCATCAGCCCAAGGCAGACAAGGGGACAGGGGAAGAACTGTGGATAGAAGCCTATTCCTTCTTCTACCCCATGTTCTAGTGGGATGACAATGCCACTGGCATTGTAGCATCACTCCAGAGCAGGTGTTCTTAAGCTGGGGTTCATGAACTTTAAAATATATATATATATATTCTGATCATTGTACTTCAACATGACTGGCTTCCTTGATAATCTTCCATATTTTATTTTATGCATTTAAAAATATGATTCTGAGAAGGGTCCATAGGCTCCAGCAGGCTGCCCAAAGGGTCCATGATACAAAAAAGGTTAAAAGCCCCTCTCTACAATCTTCCTGGATTCACCAAATAATCACCACAGATCTCTTACAGAATCATAGAAAAATTAAGAACTATCACAGAATCGCTTCAATTCCTCAGAGTATCATCACATATATTATCCTTATATTGGAAGCCATTTCAGGAGACCATCCAGGCCAGCTCTCTGTCTTCCAGGATGGTGACTGTCTAAACCAGGCAGTCTCAACTTTGCTAGACCTACCAGCCTCAATCACCACTGCCAGATTTCTCAATCTCCTCCCCAAGCCCCCAGAGTCATCAGCTCCCCTTTCTAGAGTTCTTAAAGGATGACAAAGCCCTCTCCTTACAACAGTCCCGTGACAGAGAAAGTCCAAGGATTTTATCCCTATTTTATAGATGGGGAAAACTGAGACTCAGAAAATTATGTGACTTGCTATAGGTCTCTGACTCCAACCCTAATATTCTCCCCACCATGTAACACTGCCCCTATTACATGAAAGTCAAGAGATCTGGGTGCTATGCGGAACACGGTAGTTAAGACAAGACCCTTTGACCTTTAAGAACCTAAATCTAGTTGGGAAGACTGGATCAAAACACTGTGATAACCACATAAGGCAGCAAAAACTGAGAAAGGTCATAAAGAATAAATGCCAGCAGAGAGGTACAGAAAAGGTAAGCAGTAAGAGTTTGAGAAGGAAACATCACTGTGGATTGAGGTAGCAATCCAGGTAGAGCTTCCTGGAGGAACTGGGATTTGAACTAGGCCTCGAAGGATAGTCAAGACTTAAGAGAGACAGAGGGGAATGGGTAAAAGCATTCCAGGCTAGGGGAATGGGAGCAGCCCAGCACTACGCCCTCTGTATCTTCATAGCAAAGCTACTATGTGGACCATGAAGACCTCTTCTTCTTTACTATTAAGCAGGTTGAGTGATACCATTCCCCTTTAACAGATGAGTCAACTGAAATCCAGAGAGGTTGAGACTCATCCATTCCTGGACCATTACCCTAAACTGGCTCAAAGCAGCAGTTGAAAAAGTGGAGAATGATGCCCTGGGCTTGGAGTCAGCAGGCCTTACTATAGGCCTGGACTTCAAGTCTTTACCTCTCTGTGTCTCAGTTGCTTCATGTGTAAATAGGGACACATCTTGGTTCTACTAGAAACTTTCCTGATAACTCAGCTAATGACCTTCAGCAAGTTACTTCCTTTTTCTGGGGCTTGGTTTCCTCCTTGGTAAAGTCATAGGGTTAGAACAGATGGTTTCTACCTCGAAAGTTCAATGGAACTGAGATCTATTCAATAGTTCTTCCCTTCTTCCAGGCTGAATGAACCATGCCCCTAATTTGCCCCCTTGAGACCCGTTCCCCACAAAGGCCTGACCTGTGGATTGCTGGTGTTGGAGGTATCATCCCCAAGGCTGGGCTCCTGGAAGCTGGTCTCATCCAGTACATTGGAGAGGCTGGAGCTATGGCGGCCCCGGAGGGGTGGGAAAGGCCGTCCCCCTTCCAGCGGAGACGGCGTGCTAGGTAGGCTGACAGGGGTCAGGTTCTCACCACTGCCCACAGTGGCCCCAGACCCTGTGCTGGCCAGTTCCGGGCCCAGGTCAAAAGGTGAACAGAAGGGTGAGAGTGGCTGGTAGGTAGCTTCTAAAGATGGCGGGTCACTGGGGACCACGGCAGATGAGGAGTGTCTCACACTGACAGGGGGTGAGACCTCAGTCTCTGGAAAGCTCTCGGAAGGCTCCAGAGAAGCTTCAAAAGGCAGAGGCAGGAAGACGTCACCGCTCAGCTCCGCAGAGGCTGGCTCCAGGGGGTTCGGCGAGGGGGCAGCAGGGGCTTCTCGGACATACAGACGTGTTAGGATGTCCTGCCATCCCACCTGGCGAGCCAGCTGCCGCACCATATCTGGCTGCCCGTAGATCAGGTGGAACAGCTGCATGGGATTAAACCATCTATTAGCTCCCATTCTTACAGCCCTTCAGGGTATACAAAATACTATCCTCATCTCTGGGAGGTGAAAGTGCATTGTAGTGAAAAGAGCACTGGAGAGGAAACTCTAAAATCCCAGGTTCAAATCCTGGTTCTGCCTCTCATTTACCTGTGTGACCTTGGACAGAGCCTCAAAGGTTGTGACATGTCCAACCATACACAACTAATAAGTGACAAAGGCAGAATCTGAATTCAAGACTTCTGAATCCCTCTTCCATAGCATCATAGATTTAGGGACATTAGAAATAGGCTCTAGAGCTGGAAGGACCTCAGGCCTGTTTTACAGACAGGAAGCTGACACCTGATTTGCTCACAGACATCATGGCTTGTAGTATTTATACGGTGCTTTTAGGCTTGAAAAGCACTTTACATACATTATCTCATTTGATAATCTTGTCATGGAAGTAAGCGGGATACGTGGGATTTGGATTCCTGTTTCCCTAGGTCTTCTTTTTGCTTTTTTTTTTTTTGTTTGTTTTAGTGAGGCAATCAGGGTTAAGTGACTTGCCCAGGGTCACATGGCTAATAAGTGTCTGAGGCTGGATTTGAACTCAGGTCCTCCTGATTCCAGGGCCGGTGCTCTATCCACTGCGCCACCTAGCTGCCCTGTAATGGAACTGGGGGCGTTTGTTTTTTTTCCTTTCCCTAGGTCTTCTTGACATCAAGTTCAGCACTCCATAGACTACAACAAGCTGCCTCTCACTGAGCCAATGGCAATGGTCTCCATGTTTACCTAGGAAAATTCTGATACTTCTATTATCATCTCACCAGACAGGAACTCAAACACTCTATAACACCCTATTCAGAGACTTTGGAAGCATCTACCAACCACTGGCTCATTTTCCTCCTTTCTCAAGTTTAGGGTCAAATCTTCCTTTCCACTCCAGCCCTTGTCTTCCTCCCCTGATATACCAACTTGTTTCTGAAGAGGGTTGAAAGAGGAAATGGTACAGGCGGTACAGGCATTCTGTCCTGGCCCCCTGGGCTGGTCTCTTCACTCCTAACCCTTTTTTCTCCTCTCTGTAGTTCCTGGGTCACTGCCCCCTTTCCCTCTGCCTGTAGTCCCCACTCCTAGGAGGACCCAGCTCGCACACTCACCTTCCTACACATGTCCAGGCGGACACAGAGCTGGGCACGGTGGGACAGATATACAACAGCCACCAAGTCCTTGAGGTTTGGGCAGTCTGCAAGAGGAAGGGGAGGATAAATGGCTCCATGTATGTTAGACTACTGAGCCCCCCACCTCTTAAAGGAACAGGCTGCTTTTATTGCTCTTCTCTTGGCTTCCCCGGTCCTGTTCCTCTAGCCCTACCCACTAATAAGTGACATGAATTTTCCCTCACATTCTTTCACTAAAAACTTTGAGATGATAAATTACATGATGGCAGGGACACTTCGGGGCCTATCACAATGCACTAAAAAAGAGTCTGGTTAATGAATGAAATTCCAAGACCCATTTCTTGAATTCCATAGTTCACCAATCTGTTCCACGTGTCTAGACCTTTCCACTCCATAAACTCCCCAGATCTAGCCCACTTTCTTTCCAGTTGTCACACCCCAAGCCCTACCTGCACTCAGGACCTGCTCAGAGAGGCCCCGGCAGAGGTGAGAAGAGACGGGCCCATCGGGCAGGCAGGTGATGAGGCCCTGGAGACCACAATCCTTCAGCTTGAGCCGATGCTTACAACGCTCAGGCACTCGATCACTCTTTAAGAGCTTATTCAGGATCTGGCAAAGGACAACGCAAGAGTGAGATGAGCCAGGTTGGAAAGGGATAGCTTGTGACGCCCATGCTCACTGGGAACTCAGAAGTGGAAAGAACCCTGGACTTGCAGTCAGGATCTCTAGGGGTCTAGATTCAAACCTCCACTCTCTCACCTGTACGACTTTCAGCAAGACCTTTCCTTCTCAGGGCCGTAGAGTTTGCTCTTCTGTAAAGTAGCCTAGACCGTCTGGCTCTAAATTCTATGTTCTATGAGCTAACTCAGCTCCATTGGGATGATCCTTAATTTAAAAATACAGTGTTCTCTCTACTGCTAAGTATTAAGTAGCACATCTCAGACTTGAACCCAGGTCCTGTGGCTGACTCCAAATCCTCTGTTCTATCTGGGATAACCTATAGCTCTTTATCAGCTTCTTGCCTAGTTCCCCTGACCCACTCACTCTTATTTTGTTGGAGGTAGTTGGGGTGAAGTGACTTGCCCAGGGTCACACAGCTGAGGCCAGATTTGAACTCATGTCCTTGTGACTCCAGGACCAGTGCTCTATCCACTGTACCACTGAGCTACTCCTCCCTCACTATATTCCTTCTCAGCACTCCTTACAGGCCAGTTTGAACCCAGACACACCAGCCCCCTTCCTACCCTGGCAGGACTGCCAGTGTCCCCCCCCCAGCCCTTGTCTCAGTCGATGATGGAAGCCCTGCTGGGGCCAGAGTTTCTTGCCCATGTGCATCGCAAAGTGTCAGAAGGGAACTTGGAGACACTCTGTCACAGGATCAGCGACTTAGGGCCGGCAGGGACCCTCGAGGACATTTGGTCCAATCCTCTTATTTTACAGATGTGGAACTCGAGACCCAGAGAAGCAACTTGTTCTGGGTCAAACAGTTAAATGTAAGAGGGAGGATTCTTCCAGGTTCTAAGCCCAACATTCTATCCACAATGTCACACTGCTTAGAGAAGTCACTTATAGACAGACAGACAGACAGACACACACACACACACACACACACATATAGCTCGTGAATTGGCAACAACTTTATAGATGTAGAGGTGGGGGGGGGAAGACTTTGGGATTTAAAATAAGATTCTCCGACCCCCAAACCAGTGCTCTTGAGAGGATACCACATTGAGTGGCAGGGTCCTCTTCTGCCTCCATCCCCCAAAGTCCCCCATTCTCCCTGAGATAATGACATAGGGTATAGGTACGCCCACAAAGCTCATGCCTGAATCCTCATTCAAGCCTGCAATGGGGATGTTGGAGTAGTTCCCCTGGCGGGGACTAGAATAAGAGGAGAAGGTACCAGTGGCTCACCTTGAAGACCTTGTCACGCAGCTGGTCAGAGAAGGACCTGTGTACCAAGAGGGCAAACAGTACCTCCACGTTATTTGGCTCTAGCAGGAAGGTGCAGAGGGCCTCCTGGACCGGTGAGCTCCGCAGCAGGTTCAAAAGCATGTCCAAAACCCCACATACCTAGGGTGGAGGTAGAGTCACTCAGAGTCCACAGATTCTACCCAGGACTCAGAACAGGCAGGACGTCTCCTACATTGCTCCATTCCCCACACAGCCTGCTTTCCATCATGGTCATTGTGACGGCTTTCAGGTTGCTCCCCGTTCTCTTGCTGAACTCATATCCATGCTTCAAGGCTCATCTCAAAGGGCACCTCTTACAGAAAGCCTTCCTTGACACCCCTCTTTTCTCCCCGGGATCTCCCATGGCATGTGTTTGCACTTCTCTTGAATATTTCAAGAATCTGGGGTTTTGTCACTGTGGGTCCTCCCCCTGGCCCAAGCAGATTCCAACCACTTCGTGTCTTAGTGGGTTTAAATTTCTATCCCCAGGCAGCCAAGCCCCTGCTTTTAGACCCGTCCTCAGACTGCAGCATAGCACACCCCCAGGACTGTGTGGAAGCCTTTCTTTCTTAATGCAAAGCTCAGCAGAGTCTCTGAGAACCCAGGGTCACATCCAAACAACAAAGAGGCTCTTCTGCTCACCCGACCAAGCTCTCTACTTGTATCTGTGATCCTATCAAGGGACAGTTTGTCCCGCTCATGATCCCCCCTTCTCTCTCATTTTCATTTTCTCCTTATCTACTGACTCTTTTCCCTGCTACTTACAAACGTTCCCTGGCTCTCTGACCCTTAAAAAAAAGCTTCATTTGACCCTGTCAACCCCCAAAGCTATCATCCTATATCTTTACATCAGTCAGACTCCTAGGGAAAGTAGTCTGTGCTCGTGTCTTCCCCTCCCTCTCATTTCTCAGTCTCCTGCCATTTCACTTCTGATTCTTCTGCTGGTCTTTCCAAGGTCCCCAGTGATCTCTCAAAGGTTAAATCCAATGGCCTTCTTTCAGTCCTCATCCTCCTTGACCTCTCTGGGACTTTTGACATAGCCAGCCCTTTTATATTCTTAGATAGCCTTCTGCTCTCCCATCCCCATTATTAGCTTTTGTGACACTGCTGTCTCTCAGTCTTCTTCCTCCTTGTCTGACTCTCCTGTGCTGGATGGAATGTCCTTTCCTCCTCTCTTCAGCCTCTCCAAAATCCATAGAATCAAGGCTCAGCTCAGGTACCATGTCTTACAGGAAGCCTCTCCTGATCTCCCCCCACCCCCACCAATTGCTAATGTTGTCTCTTTCTTCATACTATCTTGTTGGCATTCTGTGTCCTCTAGGAAAATTATAAGCTCCTAGGGCAGAAACTATTTTTTGTTTTTTTTTTCTTTCTTTGAATTCCCAGAACATTGTACAGTGTCAATGTTTAATAATGGTTTGTTATGTTGAATTGAGCAAGCATTGGAGGAGGATATCAGTATATGAATCAATGAATACTGTGTATTATAGTCATTCGTACTTGGGTCTTATACTCCTAGTAGTCTTGTGAGCTCATGTGTAAATTTTGCATCTACCCTAGTGCCTAGCTCAGAGTTCTGCAGGCAGTAGGTTGTTTAGCTAATGCTTTCTGCTCCCTGATCTCTGTACCCTGCCCGGTCCTCAGGGCTGCTCCTGAACCATGCCTCATCCTCTGCCTTCTCCAGGTCCATGCACCTTTCTAAGAATCACTCAGATGCGCTGCCCCCTCAGGTTGCTTTCAGCCTGCCCCCCGCCTTTGTACCTGGCCTTCATCATTAGACCCAGCCAGGTAGTTGAGCACTGCATGCATCTCCTCTGGGGAGAAGCTTCGGGCCAGGAACTCCTTGACCAGACTGAACAGGGAGGTCTGCACTGTTCTTAAGTCATCTTCAGCAAGGGGACGCTCCCTCTGTGGGCTGGGACACAGGGAAGGAAAAGGCAGAGGTGAGAGATAAACAAACAAAGGCAGAGACTCGGGTTAGGGAGAAAAGAAGGACAGAGAGAAAAGGAGAAAGAGGAGGAGGAGGAGAAGAACACCCATATTGTCACTCTGTCCCCTCACCTGTAATGTGCACGCACTGAGTCAAGGATGTACTGGACTCCGTATTTCTTTCGAACCTTCTGTCTGTGTTCCTTGATGGTGCTGGACAGGTACTGAATGTGACCTGGTCCCGGGGGCAGAGAGAGCTGTTTATTTCCTGCACATACTTCCTATCTCCCAGTCAGACCAGGGCAGGAGCTATTTATCCTCCTCAGACTGGAAGCTCCTTGAGGGCAGGGCTGACAAGTTTTCTCCCTTGGCTCTATCAGGCCAGTAGTTCTTCAAGCGTAAAAACATGTCTCCTTTTCTCTTCCTAGCTCTCTCTCTCCCAGCATCTAGGCCAGGGAAGGTGAATGCCCATTATGGGACGGGGATAGAAGACACCATTGTAAGACATCCCTGATGTCCCCTTGGGAGTCTTCCACACGCCCAAGGCCCTGCCCCTGCCTGTCCCAGGAGAGGGAAGCTTCCTGCCTCCATGTCCCCAGGGGAGAGAAGGGAGGTACAAGGGGACAAGCCTCACCCAGACGGACAGCAAAGTCACTGTGGCTCCATAGAGGGAAGCTGAAAAGCAGGTGCTGGTAGAGCAGGTGCAAGAGAGGCCCATTGCCCTCGGAAGCTACCTGCTCCATAAGCATCTGGGCAGCCATCAGGACGTTCATATCCATGCACTGGCTGGGGACCTGGGGAAAGGAAACCCAGGAAGGTTAAGTTGAATTTCCCAAGGACACACAGGTCTTAAGTATCAGAGAGGTAGGATTTGAACCTCGGTCCCCTGATTCTAAAGCCAATGCTCTTTCTACTGGACCACACTGCCTCTCCTTAGAAATCTAGTATATTGGAACAGGCAGGAATTTTATCTGGAACATCTAGTCCAGGAGTTCTTAACCTGGGATCTATGACCTTTAAAAATTATTTTGATAAACGTATTTCAAAATAATTGGGTTTCCTTTATAATTCTATATATTTTATTTTATGCATTTAAAAATATTATTCTAAGAAGGGGTCCCCGCACTTCCAGACTACCAAAGGAATTCAGGACATAAAAAGGTTAAAAATCCTGTTCTAGGCCAACGACCTCATTTTGTAGTTGAGCAAATGAGCTCAGAGAGGGTAACTGGTCCAAGGACATTGTGGCAGAGAGAGAATTCAAACCCAGGTTCCCTGGCTCCCAGGCAATTACTCTTTCCATAGCACCTCATTGCCCCCCAGTCCCCCACAGCCCCAGCTCACCATCTCTTACTACCTTTGAAACCCTGGGCAAGTCATTTATCTGATCTTTCTTGGCCTCAGTTTGTCAACTACAAAATAAGGGGGGCTGGACCAGAATGATCACTCAGATCCACTACAGCTCTAAATTCAGTGATGAACCTATGAGACGGGTAATAATAATAACCCCTTCTATGTGCAGGGTGCTTTGGTTTACAAAGTATTTTCATAATGACTAGATCCTTGCAAAAACTCTAGGATATAGATAGACCAGATATTACTACCTCATTTGGCAGATGAGAAAACTGAGGCTCAGAAATGGGAAATAACAGTCTATCCAAACTGGAATTTAGGGAATGAGTTGCCAAGTACCAGCTCAGAGCACGCAGACCAGCTGAGCCGTAAGGGTTAGGACGAGCCCAATCTTTTCCCTTGCCCCATGTCCTCCCTCCTGAGGGAGCCCAGATGTCCATCTCCATAGGCCCCTACCTTCTGCAGTAATGCCCCAATGATGGCTGGCCCATGGCATTGCATCAAGCTCTCCTGATTCACCAGATGTCCTCGAAGAAAATTCTTCACCATGAGCAAGAAGGCAGCTACACCATTCCGTTCTACTCGGCCCTCTTGGGTGGAGGGGAGGCGAAGAGGAAGGGGGGGGTCAGAGGGAAGGAAGGCAGAGAGGGCAGCAGGATGAGGCTGGTGATGGGATCTGGGGGAGGGGAAGAGTCACATAGGGATGGAGGAGGAGAACCTATCACTGGGGGTCCCACTGTAGACCTCAGGAGGTCCCAACTGGGGGTGGGGGCAGGGGCCTGAGAATGGAGAAGCTGCCTTGCCTTGTCAGACCACATCATCTTCTCTAAACGTCTTCACTGGGGAAACTGAGGCTCAGAAAAGCTAAGTGACTTGCCCCAAGTCACAAAGCTAATAAGCAGCGTTCTTCTCACTGATTTGGTTCTAGAAGAGATTTTATAGACCATCTAGTCCAGGGGTTCTTAACCTGGGGTCTGTGAACTTGTTTTTAAAATCAACTGACTGGTTTCCTTTATAACTCTAAACATTTTATTTTGTTTTTTAAAAAAAATGGGGGAAGCTAGGTGACACAGTGGATAGAACTCTGGCCTTGGAGTCAGAAGGACCTGAGTTCAAATCCAGTCTCAGACACATGCCTTAGCTGTGTGACCCTGGGCAAGTCACTTAACCCCCATTGCCTCACCAAAAAGCAAAAAAACAACAACAACAACAGATTCTGAGGGGGGGTTCACAGGCTTCCCCAGAACGCTAAAGGAGTCTAGGACACAAAAAAAGATTAGGAGCCCCTTGTTTAATCTGACTCCTTAATTTTACAGATGAAGACACTGTGACCCGGAGAAGGAAGGTAACCTGCTGAAGGACCCATAAGGAGCAAACCCAGGTCCCTTGACCCTAAATCTGGAAATCTCTTCACTCCATCACACTCCCTCAACTGTAGCCACAGACTCCTGGGATCTGGAGTCGGAAGAGGTTTTGGTATAGAGGAGGAGGCTGAAGCAGGGGTGGTAGGAAAGGGTCAGAAAAGCCCCCAAAGATAGAAAGGGTTCTCGAGAGAAGTCAGACCCAAGTACAGGAGAGCAAGGAGCCCTCCAAGGAAGGGCCCAGGCTCTTCAGAAGAGAGAAGAGGCTTACCTGAGGACTTACCCAGGGGGATAAGCAGACCCTGGGCATTGTGGGAGGAAGTCAGCTCAGGGCCCACTAGGTCATGGGTTTCAGCCTGTCCCTCAGCTTCCTGGGGCTGGGAACCCACCTGTTCTAGGAGGGGCAACAGAACTCCCATCCCTCCCACGCAGTTCACCACATCCTAGGGAATAACAGGGTGAGGGTCAGGAGGACAGGCTTATGAGGGTCACAGACACCTCCCTTTGCCCACCAGGAACTCCCAGTACCCCAACTCCAAGGTCTGCTTGGCTCTTCACCTCCCTCTCACCCTCCCTCCTTTTACTCTCCAAACATGACTCCATCTTTCAGGGGCCATTTCTACAGTCCTAGCCCACCAAGGTCTCCCCTGTCCGGACCTTCCCCCAACAGTTAGACTCAATCACTCAATCAATGCTTGGAGCTTCATTAAACAATGCCTCCTACACCCACAGTGAAGCCACGTCTCTCCAGCCTCTAGATCTTAAGATCCTGGGGACTATAGGGAGGAAGACCAAGATGGAGCAGAACAAGGTTAAATGAACAGAATGGAACAGAACAGGACAGAGCAGAATGGACTGAAAGTACAGAATATAATAGAAAAGGATACAGAATAAAATAGAATTTTAAAAAACAGAACAGCATGGAAGGAAACCTATGACTGGACTCTTACTGCTCCAACACCTCTTCTGAGCTTGGTCTTCAGACCTACAGCAGCCATCACCACCTCCGTGCCCATGACTCTGCCTGCCTTCTTTGGCATCTGAGGTATCCCAGCTGTCTTGGGCACTATGACCCCCCCCCGTCCAGGAACCAGGAATCAGAAGACCACCGTCACCCCGTAAGGCTTGGGGTTTGCTATGGCCTCCCACTTCATCCCACCCTTGGGACATTCCCGATGATTACAGTCACACTCACATACCTTCACATCCCAGTTCACCACTTTGTGGCCTGTTAAGCGCCCATCGAGCCCATGGCTAGGAGACAGGTCCAGACAGATTTTATTCTTACAGGCCTGAGTGAAGGGAAAAGTGAGCCGTCAGGGCCTGCGGGTCTCCAATCCCTACTAACCTTACCCAGTGGGAAGGAAGGAAAAAGAGAAGGTGGTCTCTGTGACCCTTATGACCCCACCCCACTCCCTGGAACTTCTGTTCTCCCCCAGGCTAGGACACATTTTGGGGTGGGGAGAAGAACCTAGGGGTCCATTGATAGGCTCTCCCTTGGAAGTCAGGTTGGAAAGGAAATCACACTGGAGGCAGATAGGAGGCAGGAGGATTAAAAGGCAGGATCTGAGGCTGGGGGGCTCAGGATGCCCGACTTCTATTTGGGCCAAAGCCCCTACTATACAGAAATCATCCTCACATCCCATTCTAGCCCTCAAACTCTGCCCTGGGCATAAGAATGAAGATAGGGACTTTAGAGTCCAAACCAATAGTGGGCAGTGATAGAGATGGAAGACGGAGTGAGGAATGAATGGAGAAGACGCACAAAGAAGGTAGAGGATGGCAGATGTGGTAAGGTTGTGGGAAATAGGGGATGAAAGGTTCTGGGGGATATAAGAGAGGAATGAGGTCATACATATGATCAGTGAGAGAGGAGGAGGGTGTAGGTGGTGGGTATATGGTAAAGGGTGCAGGAGGTGGAAGATGGGATGAATAGGGATAAAAAGTAAAAGACGATTGTAGGGCGCAACAGACGGGGCGGAGGATGGAAAATGAGGGACAGCTGTGAGGAATGAGGGTGGAGATGGGGGACGGTGATAGAAATAGAGAACAGGGGATGGGGGGATGGAGAGAGTTTCAAAGTGGAGGATAAATACGAAGGACAGAAGCAGCGGAGAGAGGACAGAGATGGAGGCCTGGGGTAGAGGGGGGACAGGGCGTGGCAGGGCTGGAACCTGGGGTGTGTAGTGGAGAAGCATCTTGTTACTGAGCTCCTGCAGCTCCCCCTCTGGTTTGAAGGGAGATGTTTCATTGGGCCCTGGAGAAGGGAAAAAAGTGTCAGGCCTTCAGCCCATCCTCCGTCCTCCCCCCAAGGGGGAGACGACGGGCTGGTGTCAACTTAGCCTGGTCCCCTTCCCCTCCCCCACTTCGCATATCTGGGCTCCCTTCACTGGATGATGGGCCTGTTCTCTTGAGCCTCCCTGGCCCCAGATGTGGATCTGACCGCTACCTGTCCTGTCCTTCAGTCTCGCTGTACCCAGAGCCAGCTTTGCTATGAAACAGAGCTGGCCCAGGGACGGGTGTGAGACAGAGAGGGGTGCCACTGGGGGCAGGGCACTTTTTAATAAGACTTCTTACGAGTGCACATAATTTTAGTAGCAGAAACCCTACTTTTCACGACCCGGAGGAATTCAAGTCACTTGTGCTATGGTAAAGCTCAAAGGCTCTGGCAGACCTCCTACAACCTGGATATGTGTGTGAGTGTGTGTGCACACGTACAGGTAATTTTTACACTTTTGCTTGGGGGTGCACAAATGCCTTGCCTCCCAGCTCTGTAATTGTTTCCCTGGCTGCTCCAGGTATATGTGGAAACTATACCAGATTGCACGCTGTCTTGGGGTGGGAGGAGGGCAGACATGGGGAGAAAGTTTGGAACTCAAAATCTTATGGAAGTGAATGTTGAAAACTAAAAATAAATAAATAAAATTTAAAAATAATGATAGTGATAACAGACAGCAAATAGTAACAGTTCATATTTCTCTAGCTTTTTAAGGTTTACAAAGTACCTTCTTAGTGACAACCTTATGAGCAGGGAGGGTAAGTATTCTCTCTTTTAGTGACTCATCACTGGATTTAGATAGATAAAGCATTTATTAAGCATTTAATATATACCAGGCTCTGCACTAAGCTGGAAAAAGACTCTACCGATTATTGAGTGGAACCCCTTCATTTTACAGACGAGGAAACCCTGGCTAAGAGAGGAGAAACAATTTGCCTAAGGTCACACAGACAATAAGTAATAATCGTAGTCCCCTCTCTTCATCCTCACATGTTGAAATCCTTCTTTTCCTTAAAGCCCCAGTTCAAGGGTCACCTCCTCTCAGAAGCCCTCCCTGATCTCCCAGGTAAAAGCCCTACTGCACTTTGTCTGGCTCTCCCCTTTGCTCCCAAGATGGCTTTTAAAGCAATCTCACACTTACATAGGTACCCCTCCTTGATGTGCTGTTAATTCCTGAAGGCAAGGAATGCCTTTTTATTCCCAGTAGTCAAGAATGAGGCCTTACACAAAGCAGGCACTTAATAAATGCTGAATCACATTAAGTTGGCAGCTATCATTCATAGACTTACTGTTTTTGAACTTTTCATGATGATACACAATCATGCCTTAGTTCTCAACTAGATTATAAGCTCTCTGAGGGCAAGGATTATGTTTCATTCATCTCTATAACATTCCCCATGCCTGTCCTGCCCCCTTCTATGACACCTAGCATATACACTATGCTGAAAAAGTTTTTATTGAATGTGTGACATAAGAAACCATTTTCAATCAATCAGGAGCCACGCCTCTAGCCTCCAACTTGATCTAATTGGATAGCTTGGGCTATCCCAGTCTGAAGAATGGTATGGAATGAAACCACTTCCTCCCAACCACCCAAGAAGGGGGAGGCCCTTAGTATTTGAAGATGGCACAGAAAGGAGCCCTTATCTTCAACCCTCTCCCTCTCACCAAGCCCCTGGGGCATGAGAATTACATACCCAAAGTATAAAGGGTTCTGATGTGCGCTGGCTGAAGGACTTCATGGAAGATGACCACAGAGCCCAGCTGGCCCTCCAGAGAGGTAGGGCTGCCCCACTCGGTGTCCTGGCTCCCAGCCAGAGTGCTGCTCACTCCTCCCTCCCGTGAGGGCCCCGCCATATTGGCACTGGGGCCCCACGAAGACATGCTGGCAGGGAAGGACTGAGATCGAGAGAGGGATGGGTGGGCAGAGAAGGGCAGCTGCGGCGGGTAGGATGGGCCAGGGAAGATAGGTGGGCCTGTGGTGGTTGTAGTGGTTCGTTGGCCAGCCAAGCCAATGCAACAGGAAGAGAAGGACTGTGAAAGAAGACAGATACCAATAAGAAGAAAGAGAGAGGACATCAGAGATGGGTGCGGGCTAGCATCTCTGTACAGACCCAACCCCACCTCAAGCTCAGAGGGTCACGGGCTTTAAAATTGAAAAAGACCTGAGTGACTATCTAGTCCAACCTCATTATTTTACAGAGGAGGAAAGTGAGGTCCACAGAGTAGAAGTGACTTGCTCAGGGTCAAACAGGTAATAGGTAACAGAGCTGGACTTTGAGCTCATGTACCCCGATTCCAGATTCAGTACTTTTCCTTCTATACCACACTGGCCAACAAAAGAAATAAAAAGGAAAACGGGAGGAAAAAAACCAACTTTTTTCCCTTCAGATTTATTTTTGGTTTAAAAAATTTAGGAATACAGATTAAAAAATACAAACCCTTTGCGTACACACAAAACACAGAGAAATATTTCTAGGGCTTTCAGTTCTGACTTCTATGATTCTATGAGCTCTAAATATACCAAAATGGGTCATGTTATAAACAGTTGTCCTTAACACATTTAATTGTTCTCATGCTAACAGAATGACTTTAGATTTGAAAAGGAGGTTTTAGCACTATATGTGTATTTCAAATTTTCCCACAAAACTTTTGATTTTCAAAATTTCTGGAAATCCGCTTCTAGACTTTCAAGGCCCGTGTCTTTCTTACCTAAATTATATATCATCCCCCAATTCCCACCCCACTGAGTCTCCTTGTGCTTAGCATAGTCCTCTGTATACCATAAGTGGTTAATTAAGGTTTGCTGGGATAAATGAATGGCTAGATTTGTGGGTCCCCCCACCTTCTCTTTAGAGAAGGGTCTTAGTTAGGCTGGTAGTGACTATAATTCTCAGCAAGTCATGCTTCTTAGCCTGCTGGAACTGTTGGGAGTATGCAAGCCAGGATAGTCTTAGGTCCTTCACTTTGAGACATAAAGTGTATAGGATGGGGAGGATGAAGCAGACTGATCTGTCTTCACCAGCTATCATGAGACTCCTGTGGGTGTCCCTCCCTTTGGGGACAAGTCAGTAAAAGAGAAGCAGGAGGAGAGAACAATAAAATGTTTGTGTGTCTGTAACACATTAGCTCTCATACAGCATTTTCCTCATAATTGAAGGTATTGACTATTATTCCCATTTTAGATACCAAGAAACTAAGTCCTAGAGAAGAGAAATGACTCTTCCAAGATCACACAGCTATTTAGTACCTGAGACAAAACTGGAACCCAGGTCTTCTGATGCCCAGGTCCATATTCTTTCTACTATACCAGTGGTTATCAAAGTATTTCTTTGGGGGTCTCCAAACCCTTTCAGGAGGTTTGTGAGGTCAAAACTATTTTCATAAGGTAATTTCTAATACAGTAAATGTTTATAGATATATAATCCACATAAACAAAAGCTCTTTGGGGAGAATCTTTAGTAATTTTTGTATAAAGTATAAAATGGTCCTGATGCCAAAAAGTTTGCAGACTTCTAAACTATGTCATGCTGCCTCTGCCTATGAAGAAGAAAGACAAGGATCAGAAATTCTGCTGGGATATCCCCTGGCAATGGCTACAGTGTTTGGGTAATGGAGGGCGGGTAGCAGCCTATAGGCCCAAGTAGAGTCAGAGGTAGTGGGGTCAGTACTAGGGGAACCAAAGGGGACTGAAGATATTTGCAGCCCTTAGGGAACTCCAACATACACCTACAACTGGAAAACCCCATGGTTTTCCAGACCATGGAAAACCAGCTTGAGGGGAGGGACACTCCTAGGACCTTGCTTTGGCCACTATCTATGTGATACAGGGTAGGGCTGAGCACAGGTAGCCAAAGTAGTGCTTGGGACTAAATCTAGGAGATCTGCAGTCTAGCCCTGGCTCTGTTACTTGTTTGCTGTGGACCACTCACAACCTCATGGGCCTCAGCTTCCTTCTGAGTAAAAATGAGTGGGTTACATGCCAAATTAATCATGTTTTGAATTTATTATATACTTAAAAAGAGAAGCTATACATAATAGAGATTCATAATTTTATTTATAAGTCTCTTTTTCTGTCCCACTATGTATATGGAAATGCTCATTTTATTTGGTGTTTGTTAAGTTCAGAATTTAAATTAAAAAAAATTTTTTTTTTTTATGGTGAGGCAACTGGGGTTAAGTGACTTGCCCAGAGTCACACAGCTAGTGAATGTTATGTATCTGAGGCCAGATTTGAACTCAGGTCCTCCTGACTCCAGGGTCAGTACTTTAACCACTGTGCCACCTAGCTAGCTGCCCCTAGAATTTCAATTTTTTTAAAAATTATAGAAGCGGGTTGGACCACAGCAGCAATTCTCAAACATTTTGGTGTCAGGAACTTTTTACACCCTTAAAAATTATTGAGGACCACAGAGAGCTTTTATTGTAGGTTATATCTCTAAACATTTACCATATTAGAAGTTGAAATATCTTGGTATCATTATGAAAATAGCATGACTGTCTGGTGTATGTAGTATCTGAAGATAGGCTTCTGGAAGAAAGATCTGCCCCCTGCCTCTTCACACCTCCTCCTGTACCCTTTACTCTTTGGAAGTTCAAAGGGGCATCTGCCTACATGATGCATTAGGAGAAGGGGCCAAGAAGGAGCCCACAGTCCAGTTCCTCCAACCCAACACTCACCTCATTGAGGGAAGGGCAGCGGAGTGGGGCTGTCTTCAGTAGCTGTCCATCGGCATAGATGTGCAGCAAATTTTGGCTGAAGGGTCGGCGTCCCGGAACATGGATAATGGCAACACTGTGCTGAAAGGAGAACCCTTTATATCAGATTCCTTGTGTTCTGTTTTTGGGAAGCAGGCATTTTCAGGGCTGGGCCACAACTCCTGATTCTACCAAGTCCCCTGTACCCTGCCACCTGTCCAAGGATGCCTTCTGTCCTGTCCCTGGGCCTTTGTTTCTCCCATCTGAAAAAGGAGGTGGATGGCCACAGGATCTTCCTCAGCAGACGAGGGTTCTCCAAGGTTGGGGAAGCCATGCATTATCTTTTGACCATATTCCCCACAGCACCTAGGACAGGACTGGGCACTTAGCAAGTACTGAAGTCCCCATGGTAGAGGAAAGGTCACTAGCCCAGCAATCAAGAAACCTGGTTCTTAGTCCTGAATGACCTTGTCTCTTTTCCTCTCTGTGACTTATTTACAAAATGACAGGCTTGGATTAAACTGCTGTTGAATTTAGAGCTGGAAAGGGTCATGGAAATTATCTAGCTTCATACCTTCAGCTAACAAAAAAGGAAATTGAGTCTTGGAAAGGTTAAGATAGGTTAAGATAACCTATGTGGGCAGTAAATGTTATTCCACCCAAATCAAGCACACCTACTATGTGCCAGGGACACAGAGACAAAAGAGAGCACAGCCCTGCTCTCAATGTGGTTACATTCTATTGGGTAAACGTAGAGCTGTGACTTCTAGCCCAATGACTTCGTCTCTCAGGTCCCCTTCAGTGTTGACATCTTGTGGCTGATATATAATAGATCATTTTTATATAGCACTCTAAAGTTTTTAAAATGATTTTCTCACTATAACCCCTCCAAGTTAAAGGGTCGAATATTAATGTCTTTGTTTTACAGAAGAGTAAACAGAAATTCAGACTTCTCAAGGTGGCTTGTGAAGGTCACACAGTTTCTGAGTGTCAGAATCTAAACCCAAATATACCGACTTCAAGATTGGGGTTCTTTCTACTCCCCCAGGTTATGATTCCCAATTTTCATTGAGTAGTTTGTCAAGATTGCTTACAGACACAAGTTGGGAAAAGGTAGAGAGAGGGCAGGAAGGAAGAGGCAGAGAGAGAAAGTGAGGCTGGGGGCAGAAGGGCCTAGGATATAAAACTCCACCCTTTCCACCTCCCAGCACACCCTTGCTCACCCAGGCAGAGTCGTTGAAGGTGGACTCAGGAAGCGACACCGTCATATATTCCTTCCTGGTGCACACAGCTACCACCAGCATTCCAGCAGGTGTGAAGAAGGCCTCAAAGCCTGTACCACTGGATGTGAAAAAGCTGGGCCGGGTACAGCCCCCACCACGGGCTGTTGTCACCTTCCCTTCCCAGACAGAGTAAGCAGGGGAGGTGGCCCCTGTGGACACCAGTGCCTTGGGACATTGGTTTATCCAAGGCAACGGTGCCAACGCCCTCCCACTCACCGTCCACCAGCCTACATGCCACCCAAGCACATAATTATATTCCCCTATCTACCACCCCGAATCTAATTCAACAAACACTTATTATACGCCTCCTAAGTGTAGGGCACTGTGTTTAGCACTTGGGAAGTTAAAAGATGAAAGAAGACACAGTTCCTGCCAAAGGATGATAGGATCATTTAGTCCAACCCTCTTATTTTCTAGAGGGAGAAACTGAGGTCCAGAGAATAGAAGGGATTTACTCGAAGTCACACCTGTAGTAAGTAGCAGTCGGGATTCAAATTCAGGTCCTATGACTCGACAGGGTTAGGGGAATGAGCTCTGGATTTGGAGATGAAAAATGTGGGTTGTAATCCCACCTCTGTTATTTCCCAGTGATGTGGCCTTGGGTAAGTTACTTCTCTCTGGGACTTCCTCTATGCCTCTGAGATATCTTCCAGCTCTAAATCTTAGGAAACACATTCAGTGTGGCTCTAGATTCCCTGATCCTCTGAGTCTCCCTGACTGCAAGTCCTGAGAGCACCTTCCCCCCGCCCCCTCCTCTCATGGGGCACAGATCACTGCTGTCCAGTCACATCCCACCAATTCCCCCCTTACCTGTACAGCTGCTTCCTCTTGGGCTGTGGGGGGCCAGCAGGGTGGAACATGGGGAATCCTCCCCTTTGGAGGCTGGAGGTGGGTAGCTCCTGGTGAAGGCAGAGCCAGGCATGGAAGGAGAAGGCAGCCCCCGGCCACCGCTGGATAGAAGGCACCATAATGCCTGCCATACTGGGCGTCAGGTCGAAGTAGCGCAGGGCCCGCTCCGGCCCCTTCTGACGGGCCATTCCCGACAGAGCCCGGATCACAGCAGCAGTGTAGGGATGGGCACCCTTGCCTGGCTCTGTCCAGAGCAGGCGGAAGAGGCGCCTCAGCTCCGCTGGCCGCAGGGAGACGCCCCCCAGGGATTGCAGGAGTTCCAGGAGGTGTTCTGCAGCCTGGCGTTTCAGAGCTGGCTCCATCCCCAGAGCTTCCAACAGGTAGCTTACCAGGCCGGCTTTCACACATGTGGTGCGGCTGAGAGGGCCCCCATCACACAGGAGTCGGAGCCTCTCTGAAAGGTACACCTGGAGGTCACTGGAGGGCAGGACTGGAAGCCACTGGGCCAGAATCAACAGAGGCTGCTCGTTCCGAATGGGGAGGGGTGGGCAGGCACTGTGGTCCCCCTCTACAGCCTGTTGGGGTAGGGGGAAGAAAAAGTTAATCCCGGAGCAGCAGAGTGGAAAAGACACTGTGGACCACGAGTCCAAAGATCCAGACTCAAATACTGTATCTGCCACTTTTCAGCTACATGATTTTGGGATATATGATATATTCATTCACTGATTCTTACATTTTTGCCTCTGATCCTCATGCCAGTCTAGTGAAACAGCTAAGCCATTTGGGGATGGGAGTGGGAATTTAGTTTGTTTGGACTTCAGTATGTTATACTTGATTAATTTGGAGAGCACATTATAAAAGAAAGGGAGGCATGTCACTAGCCCTTTAAGAAGAGTGTCACAATTCTCCCAGCACTCAGAGGGAGGCTTGATTAGTCACAAAGTCAGGTCGGTGACAAAATTAGAGTTTGGGGATACTGTTAACATTGTAAGATGGGCAGAGCAGCTGAGCTGCGCAGGTAGAAGACAGTGGCAATAGTCACCAGCCTCTCTCCTTCTTTGATGTCACTTGCACCTAGTACACAAATGGAGAGAGAGAGAAGCTTGGCTGCCATTTGGAAGCCAGATCTCACCACAGTGACTTATAGAGCACTATAGCATCTGATAGCGTTAGAAGAGGAAGAGCCAGTAGGAAAAGGAAGAAAGACGACAGCTGAGTGGCTGTGGAGATCATGTGTTCTAGAGACTTTTGCCCAGCTATGAATGCTCTTGTTGGGGTGATGGGTGAGGAGGAAGGGAAATGAGTCTTGTATGCCAGGCCAAGCTGTTGAGCTACCTGAGGTCTTAGACAGAGATAGCACTCAACCAATCAACCAACAATCATTTATCAGGTGCTGTGCTATGCGCAGAGGATAGAGACCAAAAAAAGTCCCAGTATGAAGTTTACAATCTAGCCAGGAGATGTGTGCATATATTGATCTTCTTTTTTTTTTTTTTTGCTTTTTTTGGTGAGGCAATTGGCATTAAGTGACTTGCCCAGGGTCACACAGCTAGCATATATTGATTTTTAAAAAAACATCTTGTATTGATTTGTTGTATGTATACCAAACATACAACAAACCAATACGAGATAATTTTTCTTTTTTTTGGCAGAGGAGCAGGTGGGGAGGCACTAGCAGCTAGGGGAAATAAGAAAAGGCTTCACTTTTTTTTTTTTTGAAAAGGCTTCATTTAGAAGATGATGCTGAGCCTTGAAGTGAGAAGGCATTCAGGGACAGTCTACCCAAAGGCAAAGAGATGGAAAATGGTGTTAATAATAATTTTTGTTGTTGTTCAGTCATTTCAGTCATGTCTGACTCTTCGTGACCCCATTTGGGATATACTGGAGTGGTTTGCCATTTCCTTCTTTTTTTTTTTTCTGGCTAGGCAATGGGGTTAAGTGAGTTGCCCAGGGTCACACAGCTAGTAAATGTTATGTGTCTGAGGCCGTATTTGAACTCAGGTCCCCTTGAATCCAGGGCCGGTGCTCTATCTACTGTGCCACCTAGCTGCCCCCGCCATTTCCTTCTTCAGCTCATTTTATAGATGAGGAAACGGAGGCAAGCAGGGCTAAGTGACTTGCCTAGGGTCACCTAGCTACTAAATGCCTGACACCAGATTTGAACTTTTGTCTTCCTGTCTCAAGGCTCAGAGCTCTTGCGAAACAGTAAAAAGGTTAGGTTAGCTAGACCAGAGGGTAAGGCTGTAATGGAAGGTTTGGGGGCAGATTTTGAAGGGTCACTAGAATTTATTTAGTAGGGACCTGACACAGACTGGTGCTTAAGGAAAATCCCTGATGGTAGCTGGGGTAGAATGGGGAGAGACTGGAAGTAAGGAAACATATTTAGAAGGTTATTACAATAATCCAAGTCAGAGGGTGGTTGGTAGTTGTGTGACTTGAAAGGAGAAAGGGGCTGCTAGGTGGCTCAGTGGATAGAGCACCAGCCCTGGATTCAGGAGGACCTGAGTTCAAATCCAGCCTCAGACATATGAACTTACTAGCTGTGTGACCCTGAGCAAGTCACTTAATCCCATTGCCCAAACCTCCCCCCTCCAAAACAAAAGAAAGAAGGAGAGAGAGAGAGAGAGAGAGAGAGAGAGGAAAAATGTTGTGAAAGGAGAAATGACAAGATTTGGCAACTGATTAAATGGGGATGGGGTGAAAGACAAAGAGAAGTCACGGATGGCACTGAGGTCAGAAACCCGGATGACTGATACAATAGTGGTGACCTTAACCAAAACAGCGAAGTCAGATTCCTATCCCTCTCCAAAAGCCTGATTCAAATGCCACTTCTTCCAGGAAAACTTCTTGGATTCCACCTGGATGGTAATGATGACACACCATAGTTCCCTCTGATGCACTAATCTACTATTATATGTCATACTTATTTTTGTCTCCCTACTAGATTATAATAATAATATATATAAGCTTCACAAAGATAGGGATTGTATCTTATCTAAACTTTATGTCTCCTCCAGGACAGGACTCTGAATACAGTCTGTTTTTTAAATGAATGAATAAGATCCCTTCTCCCTCTGACTTTGTATAGTCTAAGGTGCTTTTCAGCTCTGATGGTCTATGAATCAGTCGAGCTATGATTAGCAGAGTTATGAATAGAAAGACTAGTGGAGAAGCCTGTAGTAATATCTCACCACGGAACCAAATTCCCTCAATTCAAAAGACCAAGTTTATTAGCCTGCTGTTATTTGACAAGTAAAACTTTCTTATTAATAGGATCACAGACTTAAGATTTGGGAGAGACCTTGGAAGTTATCAAGTCCAGCCTCCTCATTTTACAGATGAGGAAACTTAGGTCGATATAGGTAAAGTGACTTCTGTAAGGTCACACAGACAGAGAGTAGCAGAGTCAGGATTCCAAACAAGATCTCTGGAGCCCCAGTCCAGTGCTTACTTGACTAAACCATAAAACCACACTGAAAATAAAACCAGACTTGTTGAAATCCACATGATGCCTCCATTCAGGCTGCTACCATTTTCCAGATGAAGAAACTGGGGCCCAGGGATGGTAATTAATTTGCTTATGTCACAAAGTAAATTATATTATATGACACCAGACTAGTATTCCCAGGTTTTGGTCTCAATTCTGCCATTATATACAAATACATATGTATATGTATACATATGTATATGTGTATGTATTATATACGTGTGTATATATATGATATGTACATATATAAAATCTTAATGCAATGTCAACCTATTAAAAGCTTTTTGAAAACCCTGGATATGAGGTGCTAAATAAACACTGATCAAATGAATGAATTAATGAAAGAAAAATGAATGAATGGACAGTTGAATGAAGAAACAAATACTCCTCACTATACCATGCAGTCTCTAAGGAAGGAAAGACAGAGACACAGAGACATAAATCGCCTAATTTCTAGATGCCAGCCATTGCATGTGACTACTCCCACCCACCCCATCTTGTCAAAATTCTGCATGTGTGCCCCATTTAGGATACAAGTAGAGTTCAGGGAATGGTGAAAATTGGACAAGACAAGGGAGCTCAGATTAACCTTAGAAACAGATTTGCAAAACTGACCAGTCGATGTCTTGATATCCACTAATGACTGATAATAGAAATTCCATCATTCCCCTGTCCTTTCCCCTACTCCCATGTTCTTACCATGTTGAGTAATTCCTGGAGGAGCCTTCTAGTGGGTGGACCCTGGCTCTTCAGAACCTCATACAAGTGGGAATAGCCGATTCTCTCCTTAAACACTTCCTGAAGGAACAATTTATACAATAATATTATAAAGAAAAACAACTTTGAAAGAACTCTTTCAAATTCTTTGAGAACTCTGATTAATGCAATGACCAACCATAATTCCAGAGGACCAAAGATGATGCATGCTACCCAACTCTGAACAGAGAGGAGATGAACTCAAGATGCAAGATCATACATATATTTTTGGACTTGGCCAACATGGGAATTTGTTTTGCTTGACTATAAGTATTTGTCACAAAGGTTTTGTTTTGTTTTTGTTTTTTAGTTTGTTTAATTAGAGGAGAGAAGAGGAACAGAAAATCAAACACTTGTTAATGGGGAAAAAATCATTTAAGAAAACTTTCTAAAAATATCTCCTACAGTGGGAAAGAGCATTTAGGACCACGCTGGTTGAATATTAATAATTACAATAATGATAGCAGCTCTTGTTCCCATAGCACTTTGAGGCACTTTATTTACAAACTGGTGGGGGAGATGACTATTATGATCCCCATTTTGAAAACAAAGAAACTGAAGCCCTAAAGTGGGGCCTTGACCAAGATCACACACAGTAGGAAGTGCAGTGCCTGGGACACAAACTCGTTTCCAGATTTTTCGTCCAGTGTTCTTTCTACTACTCCCTACTGCTGCCTACAGCCCAAGCTCAGAAGCTCTCTGCTTCTATTAGGCTGGTCTTCTCCCCATCCCCCAAATTCCGGGCCTATTCCTAATTCACACTCAACGGTCTCCATTGCCTGGAATGCCTATCCCTCCACTCTACCAAGTAACCAAATCCTATCCTGTCCTTCAAAGGCGCTGGTCACAGAATCACAGAATTTGAGAGTTGGTCTGCTCAACACAATGACCATAATTCCAGAGGGCTGATGCTACTCACCTCTTGACAGAGGGGTGATGGATTCTGGGCAAAGAATGAGAATTTTTTTTTTTTGGACAGGGCCAATGCAGGAATTTGTCTGCTAAAGTACTAATAATTTTTGCAAATGTTTTGTCTCCCCCCACTCCCAGTGGTGAAATGGTAAAGTGGGAGATTGAAAATTTAATTTTTTTTTTTTAAAAAAAAAGGAGAGTTGGGGGGGCGGAGCCAAGATGGCGGAGAGAAAGCAGTGACTTGCTAGAGCTCTCCCCCAAACCCCTCCAAATACCTACAAAAAATGGCTCTGAACAAATTCTAAAGCAGCAGAACCCACAAAAAGACAGAGTGAAACAAATTTCCAGCCCCAGACAACCTGGATGGCTGATCAGAAAGGTATATCGCGCCAGGCGGGGAGAGGAGCACAGTTCGGCGTGGGTGCGCTGGCTGCAGCGACCCTGGAGCAGGCCTCAGAGTCCTGAATCATGGGCAGCTGTGGCGGTTTCCAGACTTCTCAACCCACGAACGCCAAAGACAACTTCGAAGGTCAGTGGGAAAAGTCTGTTACTGCGGTGAGAGAAGAAGCTAGATCTCAGCCACCCTGAGGGCAGCGGCTGGCTTCTGAGCTTCCGGCCCACAGACTTAAGGGGGAATCAAGTGACTGATCAGAGTGGGATTGCAAGGATCTCTTTGCCAGTGCTGAGGCAGGAATCTCTTGCTTTACAGGTGCTTGGATCTGGGTCACAGTTCTGAGGGGTGGTCCTGGGGCAAGGAGGAGTGCTGGTGTGGTAGAGCTTGCTGTGGCGGTGGAGAGGAAACACCTCGCCCCTTATCATAGAACCTTGGAAGAACTGACACTTTTCGGGTCCCTAGAAGTATCTCTGAAAATAGCTGTACAAAGCCCCAAAGCTTGGGACAGTACATTCTCCACACTGGAAATAGACTCTTACCTTAACAAAGAGTTTAA